GTGTGTGTGTGTGTGTGTAGAGCACCGGGTATAGGTGTGTGTGTGTGTGTGTGTGTGTGTGTGTGTGTGTATAGAGCACCGGGTATAGTGAGCAGTGTGTGTGTAGAGCACCGGGTATAGTGAGCAGTGTGTGTGTAGAGCACCGGGTATAGTGAGCAGTGTGTGTGGGTGTGTATGTGTGTGTGTGTAGAGCACCGGGCACCCTGTAGGCAGTGTGGGTGGAGTAGGGGTGTGGGCCCCTGTGGTGAGGCTTCCTGGCCAGGGATCTCAGCCTGGCTCCCCCCAGTGTCTCCCAGCCTTTGAAGCATCTACCGGACTTTACCTCCCTTGGCTGCCCCTGCGATCCACCCTGAAACCAACCTCCCCAGGTCTCTTTGGGGGAAAGAATGCAGCTCCTGGTAGCCCCATAAAAGGCTTCTCATTCCACAGCGCGGTTCTGACCACCAAGGTGTCTCGCTGACCGTGGCTCTCCACATCCCCCGCCCCCCAGCCCCTGGCTTCCTGTCTGCCCACTGCCCTCCCCAGAGCAGCCCACCCCGCCCCCGCTCCCAGAGCTACTTGAAGCTTCCTGCTCCCGCTAGGACTGGAGTCCGTCTGTCTGTCTCTTCCCTCCGCCCCAACTCCGACTTCACCGCTGCCCGCCTTGGGCAGGTGCGGAGGATCGGGGCCCCGCGTGGGGAGGGGCGCTCTCGCCGCCCCGCCCACTAGGTGCCTGTGCCCGTGCTGTCTTGGTCGTCTGGTTGTGCACGTGTATATGAGCTCCTTGACCATGTAAATATGTGTTGGAATGAAAGCGACAGGCAAGAACTAGACCCTGGTGGGGCAGCCTCGCCGTCTCGGAAGACCCCACTCCCCCTTCGCTCTTCCCCTTGCTCTGAGACCGAGGCCACCCCTAAGGTGGACCCCTGCAGCTCCGGGGCTCCTGTTGGCTGAGGAGCTTGAGCTGGCCCCGTAAAGAAGGTGCGGGTGGGTTCTTCCTCCGCCATGGGCTTCATCCCACTGCCGCTGCCCCATTGCCTTCTCCTAGGTGGGCAGGTGGGGTGGGGTGGGGCTTGCTGGGGAAGATGTCAACCAAATCCTACAGAACTTTCTTGGCTGGCCAGCCCAGCCGCCTTGGCCCATGGGCGCTGGGAGAGGGGGGCAGGTGTAAGGTGGAGGGTGGCTGGGGTTGAGAGAATCAATGTGCCTTGAGGGACCACCCAGAGAGAGCCCAAGGGTGCTGCGAACACAGCGTGGTGTGTGAGCTCAGGAAGGGGGCAGAGGAAGGCGACACTGACCGCCCGGTGTCCCACTGATGTCATACTGCCCCACCCGCCCTCCCCGCCCCCATATTCAGCCCTTCATGATCTCCATCTGCTTCCAACTTCACCTGAGTGGAGCCTATTGGCATCCACACCCGACCCTCCATTTCCCCGTGGCTCGAAGCCTCCTAGCCCTCAGCCCTTGGGGGGAAGGGATGGCTGACCCTGGGGTCATTGTCAGGCTGTGGGCAGACAGAGGTCAAAGGGCAGAGACACTGGGGGTGCAGAGGAGACCTGAGACAACCCAAGGAAGCCCCTAACCGAGCAAACTGCTTTGTAGCCCGAGGCCAATTTGAACTGTGTTATGTGCAATAACTGAGCTTAGAATTAAGAATTGTGTTCAAGTGCTTGGGTTTCCGTCCGTATCTTTAAGTGCTGAAATCGTATCTCTCAGTAATTTTAGATGTCTTAAAAAAAAAAAAAATCAAAAACACAAGTGTTAGACCGTGTGTGTGCATTGATGGGCACCAAGCATCCTGTGGATCACCCTGACCCTCGCCCTGCGCCCTCCCCGCACCCTACCCTACCCCTCCTGGGGACCCCACCTCATGTTTGTCTGTCTGCCTAGTACTTAGCCTGAGGAAACAAGTACCCTTCACACATGCATAAAAGAAAGCAAAGGTTATTTTTAAGAAAATGGAAAATAAAAACTTTATAAACACCGCCTGCTGGTGATCTTCGGCTGCTTCTTCTCCCCGGTGTTAGATTTGGCAGCGATGGCATCACGGCTGAGGTCTCCCCAAGGCCCAGTTACCTCCTCGCCTTCCTGGTGGAGCCCCTGGGGAAGGAGGCCGGAAGGCTGAACAACTCAGACCGCATTTCAGGATAATCCACAGTGTAATCATTCGATGGAAAATCCAGTTGTTTCCAAAATGGTCACTCAAGTCACAATACGATGAAGTATGCATATATATTTCCGTGTCAGGGGGGCTTCTAAAAGTTCGTGGAAAATGGAGTTTCAAAAGATAGTGGACTTTTTCCACGAACGTTTTGAAGTGCCTATTGG